TTTWWTTTRCRTTTTWAWTTTTTRSMWAATTTTTTTATAATTTTTCCTATTTTACAGTTGACTGTTGACACCTCATGCGTTACAAAGCAAGTCGCCAAAACAGCGTTAAAACGACAGTTGGCAACAAAGCGGCTACGGAGAAAAGGTAAGGAGACTTCGCATGTTTTCTTCCTCGCATTTCTTATCCTTTTTTAACGGCCCACACGTACGTTTGAAATTAGATCTTAATATGTTAGTTCGATTTTAATATGTTAGTTATTACCGCGAATGTACTTTACACCCCAAAGTCACACAGTACGCTTTGGCTGCCTGTGGTTTAATATCAAAGACCTTTGCCCTTGTAACGCGATATTTCCTTAGTCGGGGATATAATGTGTGACGAGCAAATATCAAATATCTTTTGCTCTCTCATGTTGTCGTTTACTTAAGTTGTCGTTACTTTGTATAAAACTTTACTCGCATGAATTTTACTCGGACTTTTTCGTATTTTTTTACTCGTATGTCTTCTTATGTATTCGTAGGTATTCTTATGTACTCGTATGTTACTCGCATGTTAGTCGTATGTTATTCATATGTTAGTCGTATGTATTCGTATGTATTCGCATGTTCCGTATGTTACTCGTATGTTACTCGTATGTTACTCGTATGTTACTTGTATGTTACTCGTATGTTACTCGTATGTTACTCGTATGTTACTCGTATGTTACCCGTATGTACTCTTGTGGTGTTTTAGTCATGACCGTTCCGTTTCACGTTCCTCTGCTCTTTATCGCCCCATCTTCCCATTATATCCGGTCCACTGCTTGATTGTCTTTCTTGGACCTTCCACCTTCCATTTTTCTTTCCCAATAAAAGTCAATTGGTTTAAAATTCCTGCTGAAGTTTGATACAAAACGTAAATCAGAAAATGCAAATAAAACTCAGATTCACAAGAATGGTTGAGCGAAAGGCTTCGTTTTGAAAAAGAAGTCAATTTGGGTCTATTTTCTCTAAACAAGTATCAGTCAGTTTTATGATAAGGATCTCAGAGTTAGGGTCCGATGAATTTTGCAGGAAAACTTGAGCATAATGCCTTAAACGTCAACCCTGAAATCATGGCAACATGCGTAAACATTCTTCTCGAAACTTTTCATCAGGCTCAATTTCAGAAATAATTCAAAATAACGGTAGTAACGCTTAATAGTTGTTTTTTTTTTTCTGGATCAGAATTCCTAAAGTACCAGCAAGAAAAGGAGGCTCGCTGTTGACAATATTCAGGCTAAGGATTTCATCTCATGTTGAACTGTAACATCAAGGGAATTTTCAAGAATTTCGGTCAATATGCCGACGATAAGCTCGTGGCATTGAATATAGCATTTTGTCCTAAATTATGCCACGATAATTGATTTGACCCTACTCAAAATTGTTAACGACAAACTTTTCATGGGTAAATAAATTTACAAGTACAATTGTCAATGAAATTTAGTAGGGAATGTCTACTTGAGCGCAATTTTATTGAGCAGCATCAGATTTGCTCATGTATGCAAGGAATATTTTTTCCGCGACACAGTACACGAGTAGAGGCAGATTGATTTGTACGAGTAATAAAATACTTGCTAATCAAGCAAAATACATTTTAAGCTTTTCGTCTCGTTCGCGTAATAAGAGCTCGTTTTGACCCGAATTCATCATTAACATTCTTTAAAAGGCGCATTTTCGACAAGACAGAAACGTACATTATACCTATCGATATTCTGTCGAGCGTGCGCGGTCTGTGTTATTACAACAATCACCACTAGAAGCGTGCAGCAAAATCAGACCACTATAGAAGGGATTACTGGGGGGAGGGGTGAGGAGGCAATAATTAAGGCTATTACAAATAGACAAATGCATGTGAGCGTGTATGGAGAGCGTGTCCTTTCTAAGATTTTCACTAAGCATATACATTTTGAAGCTAATAACCTTTGGAGGACCTCACAAATAAGCAATTAAGAAATTTAAAGTTAAAATATTTTTGATAGATAATTTTGACATGAAGGATGAGGTCACTTCATGCAAGAAGTATTTCGTTCGAATTGTCACGAGCGTTTCACAAGGTAAAAAATCTCCGAGTCCCCATTTTCTTCTTCTGGGATAAGACGTAAAGATATTCGTATATATTCAATCATGATCGGGTTGATATTCACCACCATGCCTCTACTGATTGACATCTTGGTCTTCGGAGCCAATGTATTGCGCAAGCAATCTACAATATAGCAATGGCCAATTCACAATTTTTCTTTTACACCTCGTAAAGTGTGTCCAGCTTTTGCACGTCTTGTACCCTTAATTTTTCACTTTTCCCCTGGGCCATTTGTAGAGTTTCAAGATCAACACGACGACCTTTGTCTTTGTCGTAAACGGTTTTAACTGCAGTAGTTGATTCCATTGTATTTTCATCGGCATCTTCCTCACAACTGCCTTGTCTTTGTCGTTCTCTTATGTTTTCAACTCCTTCCATTATTCTTTTTCCAACATAAGCTATCAGCCCAAAGAAGAAAAATCCGAACGCTATGATACCCACGGAGGCCATAATCAAAGCATTTGAGAGAGGCACGATTAAAAAAGCACTTATAAGAGCAACAGTGTCCAAAAGATAGATCAAACTTGCTAGAATCTGACGATGAAAATGGCTCCCAATCACGGATCCCACTGGAGCACCCAACACAACGATGGGCACGCAAACTGCCAGGTAATGATAAGCCTCGGCACTCACAGCTTGTTGGATGACTTGACGCCAGTAGAAGCCCACTACTGTGTTTCCTGCCATCAAGATGACGGACGTAGGTGTAGCAGTCTTCTCGCTTACACGGAAGAGAAGCGTGAGAACGCTGAAGCTGCAGATATCCACGCCACTTCCTGCGATAGCTGAGAATATTCCACCAATGAATCCGGTCAGTAGAAGTACAATGAGCTTCCACAATTTGAATTCTGGGATAGTCGTATATGTTTTCCGCTTGTGATAGCGATTCAAAAGAAACAAAGCAAAAGCGAATGCAAACCACATGCATACAAATCCCATTTTTTTCTGGGGAGGGGTGAGTTGAGGATCGATAAACTCTAAGCCGATTATCATACCGAAGATTCCTCCGAGGGAGCAGAATGTCACGGAGTGCCATTCAAGCTGCACGCGCATCCAGAAGATGGTGAAAGCCGCTGCTGTCATACCACAGGACTGAATCATAAGTGAAAAGTCACGTGCTACTTCTGGTGCAATACTAAAAGCGAGGGTCATAACGGGAAAAGCGACTGCGCCTCCACCTTCACTTGTCATTCCTATGACCGAAAAAAAGGCCTTCTCTGTTAACTTTTTTTTAACTAAAAATAAGTACTAATAATAAATAATAAAGTATTACATAGTGGAATGCGATTTTTTTGCACTGCCCGTATAC